GGGTTTTTAAGAAAAAGATTGGAGCAGACGGAAAGGTGGAGACCTACAAAGCCCGTCTTGTTGCTAAGGGATGTCGTCAAAAAGAAGGAGTTGACTATGACGAGACTTTCTCTCCCATGGCAATGCTCAAATCTATTTGGATTTTGCTAGCTATAGCAGCATACTATGATTATGAAATATGGCAAATGGATGTAAAAACAGCTTTCCTTAATGGTGAGCTAGAAGAGGATGTGTACATGACACAACCTGAAGGTTTCACATCTTCGTCTGATCATAATAGAATTTGTAAGCTACAAAGCTCTATTTATAGACTAAAGCAAGCTTCTCGAAGTTGGAATATTCGCTTTAACAAGACAATTGAAAAGTTCAATTTTGTAAGATGCGAAGAAGAACCTTGTGTGTATAAAAAAGTTAGTGGGAGCACAATTATATTCTTAGTATTATATGTTGATGATATATTGCTCATAGGGAATGATATACCGGCACTGCAAATTACCAAGATTTGGCTATCGGAACAGTTTTCCATGAAAGACTTGGGAGAAGCAGCTTATATATTAGGAATAAAGATCTATAGAGATAGATCTAGGAAGCTGCTTGGACTTTCCCAGTCTTTGTACATTGATACCATCTTAAAGAGGTATAACATGAATAATCCCAAAAGAGGCTATCTACCGATAGGCACTGGAATTACTCTTAGTAGGGAGGATTGCCCTAAAACACCTGAAGAGAGAGAACGCATGAGTAGGATCCCATACGCTAGTGCAGTAGGAGCTATCATGTATACCATGACATGTACACGTCCTGATGTGGCTTATGCACTTGGAGTGACTAGACGATATCAGGCAAATCCTGGTGAGGAATATTGGAAGGTGGTGAAGACCATTCTTAAGTACTTAAGAAGGACTAAAGACCAATACCTCATCTATGGAGATTCTGAGTTGAAACTTGAAGGTTATACTGATTCAAGTTTCTCTTCAGATAGAGATGATAGCAAATCTATTTTTGGTTATGTATTCACCTTAAATGGTGGTGCGGTGAGTTGAAAAAGTTCCAAACAAGCTAGAGTAACTAATTCAGTGACTGAAGGAGAATATATAGTAGCTAGTGAAGCTACTAAGGAAGCTGTATGGATGAAAAAGTTCTTAACTGAACTTGGTGTGGTTCCTTCAATAGAAGGTGCGGTTCCACTGTTGTGTGACAATACTGGAGCCATTGCTCAAGCAAAAGAACCAAGATCACACCAAAAAGTCCAAACACGTTCTGCGAAGGTATCACTTGATAAGAGAGATCATTGAACGTCAAGACGTCGAGATTCAAAAGGTTGATGGAAAGGAAAATGTTGCAGATCCATTCACTAAAGCTCTTGGCGCAAAGGAGTTTGACAAACACAAGTGGAAATTGGGGATGAAGTACAAGAGCGATTGGCTCTAATGCAAGTGGGAGATTGTTAGGGATATAGTATATATGCCCTAGATCCAATATCATATTTGATGATTTGAACATATTTTTATATATGGCATTTGATATTCTTTTATCATAGTTATTATTAATTATTTGATTAACTTGATAAAGTCCTTGATTAAATTATTGAGATTTGATATTGTGATGGAGATCATGATAATGAGAGTCAAGTTTCTTATAATTTAATCTAAATTTGTTCTTGATCGTATGATTATTAATTTGGACATTGGTAATCTGGTAAGATCAATATTTTTGTGATCGTCTTTATTGGATAAATATTAGTTGATCTCATTAAATAATTCGCATAGATAGATGATGCATATAAAGATATGATCATTGAACCAACTCATTGGATAATTTCTAATGGCTAGAATTACCATAAACTGTCAATAGGATATTCTCTTGAAGAAAGTGATGTAAGAATTTCCTTTTACCTGAAATCATCATATTAATTGACAAGTTATTTATTGTGCTTTGATACTAGACACCTATGGACCTAGGGCGATAGTTGAAAGGATATTGGGTACGGTTAAATACTTGTAGAATTAGTGATTGATCCAAGATGGAATCTGTCAACTCTTGGTAATGAGTTTAAGCTTCATGTTGTCATGAATTATAAACGACCAGACTAAGACCTTGGCCAGAGCAATTGAATGAAAGAAGAAATGAGTTTCTTAGGTTATTCAATGGTCGATTATATTTGACATGANGTTTATCCTACGGCAGAAATCCAATTAATATTGTGAATTGGTTTTCACACTCATCATACATATATGAAAGTGATTGTACCTTTACTATATAAAACAAAATTGTAAAGAAAGAAAAAGGTCCAATTATTATGTGAATTGGTTTTCACACTCATCATGCATATACCTTTACTATATAAGACAAAACTGTAAAGAATGAAAAGGTCCAATTATTATGTGAATTGATTTTTATACTCATCATGCATATATGGAATGTGATTGTACTTCTACTATATATTGTAATGAAAGAAAAAAAATTCAAGACTTGTTAAGACAAGTCTGTCTTTTTGCCCAAACCGTATAGGAAAAAGTTGGCAACTTAGGCGTATAAGTATCATACAAAATAAAGTGTTAAGACACTTAATTTTTCTAGAGTGAGACAACAAGAGATATATTTGACAAAGTAATTACTTTCTTTGTCAAGAAGTTGGCTGGAAGTTTTGAGGAAAATTTCATCACACAATTTATTCAATTTGTTCGCGGGTTTTAATTGATCAAAGAGTTGATAGCAAAGAATCTGTCTCAGTGTGGATACACATAGAGTCTTCGCACAATCGAAGAAAAATTTTGAAACGAGACTTTCTTCGCCAGGTATGTCTTAGATCCGATCTTTTACCTGTAAATAAATTTTAAAGACGAAAAGTTCTGCCTAGGATTGTTTTTATCTTCCGCTGCGTGTTACAAACACATATATGCAGTCCTACAATATGTACATTCAAGAACGACTTATTCGCAGAGGAAGGTGTCTGGCTCTGGGAAAATGGAACACCCACATTGAGTGTCCTTAGAACCTTGGCTGTGAGGACCTTATTAGTGCCTAAGAAGGAGAAGGAGATTAATTGGTTCTTGCAGGCTGGATTCCGGGAGAAGCTGCTTGCCCAGTTGAATCCGCACTTGAGCAAAATTGCTCAGATTATTCTATATTGCTCTGCCAGTGTATGTAATTATTTGTCAGTCCCTTTCTATTATTACGTCTGGCTTTAGTGGTTCAATGGGCAGTTCGGAGAAAATTCCCATTTATCCTTTTTTTTGGAGAATGAATATTTTCATTTATCCTTGATCTGCAATTTGTCTAATGATTAAGGTGCAATTTATCAGACATTGGTGGTCATCCAAGACATGCTTCGAGTGTTCATTATTCGTATTGCATCTATAAGCGCTGATAATGATTCAGTACTTCTACGGCCAATGATATTGTGGATTCGTGATCGTCTTTCTGAAGAATTGCCATTGTCTGATTTGGATTCTTACAAGGTCATATTACTTTCCCTCTTTACATGCGTCTTGGCAACAATATTGTTTCTGATTTTTTCCAGGCTGTAAACTTCAACTTGTTTTCGTATGATTGCAAACGATTTTCTTTCAGGTTCAGCAATTGCTCTCCTTTCTGTCTCTACTGCTAGAGCACCCACATGGAAAGGAGTCTGCATTCACAATAAATTGAATCTGCATTAATAGTTTTACATATGTATCTGTTACTAAGCAGCTGAATGCTATATGCTTACTACATTTCTTGTGTTCATCAGCGATAATTCTTGAAGGAGGGCGGCCTTCAGATGCTAATGAAGGTTCTTGAAAAGTTTTCAGCTGCTGCTAGCTTTGATGCGAAACAGTCAGCTCAGAAAGGGTTTTCACTTCTTAGTTGGTGTGTTCCTGTATTCAAGTCTATTCGACTAGTTAGTGAGTGCAGGGCTTCTCCGCAAACCCCAGGAATAGTTGAGAGGTTAGCTGGGGTTGCATGTACAGCAATCTGGTTTCTTGTTTAGCTCTTTCTGTTGATGCTTATGTTTCTAGTGTGCTTGTTGTATTTTCCAGACACATCCTTGAAGATATGACTGCTGAGGAACGTTGCTTGCTTTTGTCATTGCTCCTTCGATTTTGCAAGGTATTTCCTTTTTTGTTATCTGTTTTGTTTATGGCTTAGATGTGGTACTCATGGGCAACTGTGCATCTATATGAAACCGTGGTTTATGACTATTTATTATTTGCTTTCTGGAGTTCAGTTCAAGATTTTGGTTCAGCTTCTGAAGTTTGGCACGATTCAAATTTCTTTGGATTTTAATTTGTAGGTTATGTTGCACTGTATCTAATAGTGAGGGAACACTGACATTTTCTTCCTTCTCTCTTGTTCGATTGGGCTGGATGGGGGCCATCAGTTTTAGTTTTCTTGCAATTTATTTCGCTTTGTAATTAGTGCATTATAGTATTTGCTTCTTCCTCGGTCCTTTGGGAAAATTAAAGCCTTTCGACCCATGAACTAGTACTAATAATTGCTGTTTTTTTTCTAGTTGAAAATCTTGATTCTGCTGATATGACTCTTTATGTTGATATATTGATACAGGCGTCTTTTTGGTTGACCAACTTTCTTTTTTTCATTCTCACACTATTATATTTTTAAATTTTCTGTTTTTATTTTCAAAATGTGCAAAGTTTTATAGTAATGGTTGCAGACTTCTCTATATCTGATTCCTAAAGGGAGGGGTTTAAGGATTGGGGGAAAACAAAGAAGGTAAATAAGATTCAGATTTAGGCCTTTAGATGTAAGCTCCAAGTTAGAGCAAAAGGTATTATAAGACGGAGTACAAAGAATAATGGAAGGGGTGTATTGGGAAAAATTAGAGTTTGCATATTGAAGGTGACGTGTCATGACACGTGGATTAGTCAAAAAGTCAAAGAATTATAATTAGCCAAGAGGCACGAGCAACAACAGATACGAGAAAAGGGGATGAAAGAGATACAAGTAGTTATTCAAATAGTTCGGCGCCCGTACCTATTTAAGTCATTCAAAGCTCAAAGATCAAGAAGAATCAAGGAAATGAATCTGACAACGCATGAGAGTCCAAATTCAGTATTTAATATATATTAAATACCTGGTACGTTAGAGAATTTGTATTTGATATAAATGATTGAGTAACGTTTCTTTTATTGTCATTTATTGCTCATAATTGCCTTATTAAGACAAAGGCAATACACATATCTCCAAAAAACCATTATAAAAGGGAGAATGCTGAACATTTGTAGACACAACATACTATTGGAATACATTGAACTACTTTCTTCTGCTCATCTTGTTATTAAAAGTCAATTTCTTTTATACATTTCTTCGATTATCAGTAACCCGTGTTCTTCTAAAATTCTAGCTTTGACTAAGATTCTATTTTTTGGTTAAACAAATTGGTTCCGTTACCGGAAATCTGATAATCGATTTTCTTTGCACTTAACCTTCTTTGTTGCATCAACTATGTCGAATAACGATGACAATACTCAAAGAAACCAAGAAACCCAACAAAACTAGGGAGATCCACAAAATATCAACATTCACGATCCTGCTCCACAAGATTCTCTACGACAATCTCGCGAGGGTTCTCCTGATGAATCTCAAACAAACGAGTATGCTCAATTTCAGAACATAGAAGTCATTGATGAAGCCTTGCAGAAATTAATTGCTGCACAGGTCAACAAAGCTATTGCGGTGCTTGTTAACCAGTTACCTGTTGCAATACCCGCACCTACTCCAAATAATAATACTGTAGAAATCCCTCGTTCCGGGCTCGTTAACTCAGGCAGCGGTGGAACCCCCAATAACTCACATGAGGGAGAACCAGGTAATACAATTAATTCTGATTTGCAAACTTAAGTACTAACCTTGCAGAAACAGCTCAAGGAGCAAAGTGAACGCATAGAGCAGATATCTGGGGTGCCACCTATAATGAAGGGGGTAGATATGGATAGATACTCACAACAACCCTGGAAGCCAAGTGCTGCTCCGCTCCCAATCCCAAAAAAGTTCAAAATGCCTGATATTCTAAAGTATGATAGAACAACAGATCCACGAGACCATGTGACTGCCTTCACAACGGGTGTAAAGGGCGACGATTTGACTAAGCAGGAGATTGAATCGGTTCTAGTCAAGAAATTTGGCGAAACACTCACCAAAGGAGCACTAACATGGTATTCTCTTCTACCTGAAAATTCTATAAATTCTTTTACTGAGCTTGTAGATTCTTTTATCAAAGCACACTCGGGAGCTCAAAAAGTGGAAAAGAATGGAGGATATTTTCAAAATCAAGCAAGGAGATTCAGAATTGCTTAGAAAGTTCGTGGACAGATTTCAACGTGAAAGAATGACATTGCCTCGCGTACCCGACAACTGGGCAGCTATAGCCTTTACGAGCAATTTGAATGAAAAAAGTTCGGAAGCTACGAGGAGGCTCAAGGAAAGCCTTCGTGAATTTCGAGCTACAACATGGAATGATGTTTACAACCGGTATAGCACGAAGTTGAAAATTGAGGAGGATACTGTGCCACGATCTCAAAAAGAAGAAAATGTACGTTCGAAACGGGCAGAGACCGACAAAAGGTTCGGTAAAAACAGGTACGAGCCTTATATGGGACCTGCGGGAAAAGACTCACGATCAAAACAGGACGACCAAAGGCACGATCACAGACCAAGGAATAGAGAAGCAGGTTCTTCATCGAGATTTAGGAACTAGCAAAACCGTTATAAGTTACAGGATGATGACAGAAGTTTAAAAGCGAGATTTGGAGGTTACAACTTTAACGTTAGCACTTCTGAGCTCGTAGCCGTTTTGAGAATTATGGGAGATAAGGTTCATTGGCCAAAGGAAATAAGATCGAATCCAGACAGGCGCAACCCTGACCATTGGTGCGAATTCCATAATGACCATGGGTATAAAACAGCAAATTGTAGATTTTTACAAAGTGAAGTTGATCATTTATTGAAATAAGGATATCTCACCGAGTTATTCAGTGAGAAGGGCAAACAAGCTTATATGAAGAACAGGCAGGAGCCTCCGAAACCCCCTTCTCCCAAAAGAACTGTTAATGTTATAAGTGGGGGTGAAGACATCAATGGTGTATCATATACTGCAGCCAACAAAGTTTCCAAAGTAACTATTACCCAAGGGAAATGGATGCGGCAGGTTCTAGAAGAAGATATTACATTCAATGATGCAGATGCTGATGGCGTATTAACTCCTCATAACGACGCACTGGTAATATCTCTAATTGTGTTTGATACTAATGTGAAACGAGTTTTAATTGATCCAGGTAGTTCCGTGAACATTATTTTGCTGCGAGTATTACGTGAGATGCAAGGTGAAGAGAAAATAATACCAAAGGCGCATACTCTATCTGGATTTGATAATTTCAGTGTCGTTACAAAAGGAGAGATAACACTCACCACATTTGCTGAAGGGATCGTGAAGGATACAAAGTTCCAAGTAGTAGAGATGGAAATGGCTTACAACATGATTCTTGGGAGACCGTGGATCCACGAAATGGATGTTGTTCCTTCAACCTTGCATCAGGTTATTAAGTTTACCTCGCCATGGGGAATCTGTCAAATTCGTGGAGATCAACATACGTCCAGGACTATCAACTCCGTTGCAGACACAAGCACAAGAAGTGAAGATAAATAGCAATTACAGAAGGTAGTTGAGGACATCACAACACAAACCTCAACTGAACAAGGACGGACAGATGTAGATTCAAGGCCTGATACCATACAAGAACCAGAAGTGTATGAAAATATCAAAACAACGATAGAGGAATTAGAGCCTGTCATGTTATATGCTCAATGGCCTGATAAAAAAGTCTATGTTGGGGCTAATCTTGACAAAGGAATGAAAGGTAAGTTAATTGAATTTTTGAAAGCTAACATGGATTGCTTTGCTTGGTCCCACTCAGACATGACTGGAATTCCACCGGAGGTAATGACTCATAAACTAAATGAGGATCCATCATATCCTCCTGTGAAGCAAAAGAAGAGAAAGCAGGGATTTTTCAAGAATCAAGTGATTCAGGAAGAAGTCCACAAATTGTTAAAAATTGGTTCCATTCGAGAGGTAAAGTACCCTAATTGGTTAGCTAACACTGTTGTGGTTCCAAAGAAAAATGGTAAGTGGCGGGTCTGTGTAGATTATATAGATCTTAACAAAGCCTGCCCTAAAGATTCTTTTCCGGTACCACATATAGATCAATTGATTAATGCAACTGCAGGTCATGAATTACTAAGTTTTCTAGATGCATATTCAGGGTATAATCAGATCAAAATGGACTCGGAAGATTAAGAGAAAACTTCATTCATAACAGACAGAGGGACTTACTGTTATAAAGTAATATCCTTTGGTTTAAAAAATGCAGGGGCGGCGTATCAGAGGTTGGTAACTAAAATGTTTCAAGAATATTTAGGAAAGACTATGAAGGTATATATATATATGATATGCTTGTTAAAACTCAATATTCGAAAGATCACATATCACACTTATCTGACACATTTTCAATTTTGCGTAAATTCAATATGAAGTTAAATCCCGAAAAATGTGCATTTGGCGTTACATCAGGTAAGTTTTTGGGTTTTTTCGTTCCTAACCGTAGAATTGAAGCGAATCCTATACAGATTAAAGCCATTGAAGAAATCCCTGATATACTTACAAACAAAAAAGAAGTTCAAAGGTTAACAGGGAGAATTGCGGCTTTGGGGAGATTCATATCAAAATCATCAGAAAAATGTTTCAAATTCTTCTCAGCTCTTAAGAAGCATGATCATTTTGAATGGAACGAAGAATGTCAGTAAGCACTTAGAAATTTAAAAGCTTACTTATCAAATCCACCTCTGCTGGTAAAACCAAAAGCTGGGGAAAAGCTACTCATCTACCTCGCTGTTTCAGAAGTGGCGGTAAGCGCTGTTTTGGTCCGAGAAGAGCAAGGTAAATAATTCCCTATCTATTACGTGAGTAAATATTTATTAGATGCGGAGACAAGGTATCCACAATTAGAAAAACTTGCCCTTGCATTAATCATGACATCTAGAAAGTTAAGACCTTATTTTCAGTGTCATCCTATCATTGTGGTAACTACCTACCCTTTACGTAACATATTACACAAGCATGAGTTATCAGGTAGGTTAGCTAAGTGGGCAATAGAGTTAAGTGAATACAAAATTGCATATCAACCAAGAACTGCTATAAAATCACAAGTATTAGCAGATTTCGTGGCTGATTTTAGTCATGGAATACAGTTAGAAGCAGAGAAAAAATTGCAGGTGTTCAATGGGGCTAACCCAGGAACTTGGACTTTATTCACTAACGGCTCGTCTAATATGAGAGGGGCAGGATTAGGAGTCGTATTGGTACCACCTACGGGCGAAACCATTCGGCAAGCTATCAAATGTCATTCCATAACTAACAACGAGGCGGAATATGAAGCTATAATTGCAGGTTTAGAATTGGCACGAGAGCTTGGCATAAGTCAAATTATAATCAAAAGTGATTCACAACTCGTGGTCAATCAAATACTGGGGACTTATACATCCAGGGAGGCAAGGATGCAGCAATATTTGGAGAAAGTACGGGAGTTCATAAAACAATTCCAAGATTGGAAAATTAGACAAATACCCAGGGACGAAAATCTTGAAGCAGACGCCCTAGCTAATCTCGCATATGCGACTGACGTGGCAAATGATGCAAATGCCTCAGTGATACATTTGTTTCATTTAGTTATTGATCACGATGATAACGAGGTAAATTTTAGTAATTTAACTTGGGATTGGAGGAACGAAATGTGGCTTTTTTGCAGAATGGAACCGTTCCTAATGACAAGAAAAAGGCTTGTGCGCTTCAAAGAAGAGCTGCTCGGTACTGCTTAAAACAAGGCAATTTGTATCGTAAAATGATTGGTGGTCCATTAGCAAGATGTCTTGGACCTGCGCAAACAGAGTACGTAATGAGAGAAGTGCACGAGGGTCATTATGGGAATCACGCAGGTGGAAGATCACTGTGAGAACCTTGATTAGGGCAGATTATTACCGGCCCAAAATGGAAGAGGAGGCAGAAAGTTTCGTGGCTAAATGTGATAAATGTCAAAGGTATGGTAACAATATACATAGACCCGTGGAATTGTTACATCCGGTCACTGCACCGTGGCCATTTATGAAATGGGGAATGGATATCGTGGGTCCACTACCGCAAGCAAAAAGACATGTAAATTTTTTTACTTGTTCTCACTAATTATTTTACTAAATGGGTAGAGGCAGGTGCATTTAA